ACCTTGCTGTAGCAGGAATGGGTGCATCTGCTTTCTTTGCTGGCTGGCAGTGCCAATCAGAAGACAGAAAGAATCAGAGACTAGTTGAGGGTCCAATCAAATGTAATCATCTTCTACGGGTTCACCATTGACATCACAGTAATGGATAAAGATAGCCACTACCCGCTGGAACACACCTTTTTTCATCTGGCGCAGTTCAGAGATCTCTTCACCTATTGTTTCCATGCAGATGTCTGCAGACAATTGTCCTTTCCTCCGTGGAGCATAAATAGTTGCTATGGAAGTTACAGCAAGAAGAGGATACAAATTAAAGGGTTTTCCTATGGAAATCATAAAAGCCATAAACTGAGCAATCCCTGCTTTGCACTGAGACAGTATAAAGAACCTCTCTCAGAAAGTGAAACAGAAAGAGTTCCTGTGAGCAAGTCTAAAAGTTACTGATCAGATATAAAAAAAAAAAAGATATTTGGTTTTTAAGACAGCTCTTTCAACAGTTCTAAGACTCAAGTATAGTAAGTGGAAAAAACATTATAACAATCAAAGCAAAAACAATTATAAAAACTCTGTCCTAATGTGCTCCAGTGTTGTCATTCATAGCCTGTTAGCCCCTATTTTCAATCACCATACTGAAAATATCCTAGGCAAATTAAGGAGGAAGCTGCAGGCTGAACTCTGTATTTCTCCTGGATTTACAACTGTATCTTAAAAGTCTCATTAGTCAGTTAAAAACAGTACTTTCATCATTCAGACTGTACTTAAAAATATTATGAAGATTCACCATGTAACTTATGGAAAGGCATAGCTGGAAGGGATCACAGATCATCCAACCCATTCCACTACTCTGAGGCAGAATTTGTTTTCCTAGACCAGTGGTTCTCAGTCTGAGACTCAAGGTACCCACAGGAAAATGCCAGCTCTTAGCTTTTGCTCATTTCTTTTGCTATGGAAGAAATGAGAGAGCAATGCTTCTGTTGCAAAGAACTCAGAGAGACTACAACAGGTCAGAATGATTTTGACACTGTCAATTCTTATTTAAAATCTTATGTACTCCCAATCTTTTCTATGGGAAACAAACCCCTTTGTTTCCATTTTCCCCCTATAGTTTATGTTTTCCAAATATTTTATCATTTTTGTTCTCCTATGGATGATCTCCAGTTTGTTTGCACTCCTTTAAAAATACAGTATCCAAAAATTGACACATTCCACTCCCAACTGAAGCCTCACCGGTGCTGATGAAATGGCACCAGAGAACTCAGACTTGTAGCCATACCATGGAATGAACTGGCTGTCAGGAATAACAGAATCACAGATGATAAGGATGGATGGATGAAACCTTAAGAGGTCATTAGTCCAGCACCCTGGCCCAAAACAGGATCTACTATAGCCAATCTATTCCTGATAGTTGTGTGTTTACCCTGCCTTTAAAAACCTCCAGTTATGGAGGTTCCACAAAAACCTTAAGTATTTTAAGTTGGTGTATAACTATCCTTAGTTGAAAAGTTTTTCCTAATAGCCAACCTAAACCTCCCTTTTGCAATGTAAGCCTTTTACTTCTTGTCCTAACTCCCAGTACACATTTTAAACAATTTACAGTAATACTCTTTAGAAGTAACCCATTCCGTGTTTAAAGACTGCTGTATCCTCTTAGTCTTATTTTCTCTTAAGAAATTAGAGAAATGGTTTGAAATTTGTTAATACATACTTAATTCTAATCCTGTTCTTCAAAGTGCTGGCAATTCTTCCTGACCTTGTATCATCAGCAAGTTTAATATGTAAATGACTCTGAGTTTCATCATCCAAATTATTAATAGAAATATTGACTAGTATAAGACCTGGACAAACCCTAAAACCCAACTTGATATGGCCTTCCAATCTGAGAGTGAGCTATTTGTGGAGTATTGTTTTTGAATCAGTTGAGCACCCACATTGCAATAGTTTCTTTTACAACCTTTTCCCCATGTTTGCGTAAAAGGATATTGGGTAAGAGAGTGTCAAAGCCTTACTGAAACCCAGATATATTATAGCTACTGCTGTCTCCTATTCCCAAGGCTTGTTATGCTGTCACAGAAGGAAATTAGGTTTAAAATGCACTCCCAGTCACTAAAACAAACTTATTTTTCCTTTCTTACTTGTCCATGTTATTTGGTTAAAGCAACTTCCTTTTTTTCTTAACTTAAAAACAGGGTTTTAACTTTCCCTCCCTTGATTGATATTCCTGATTTTAGGTTAAGAACCAGATTTTGGCTTCTACTCTGGGTCCTTTACACACCTGTGATGGTGTCCAATGGCAGAACCAGCTGTCAGGAAGTACCTGTGATGTAAGGATGGTCCCTTGTGTTTGAGCTCAGTAGCAGGCTTTGTCCACTCTGTCTTTGTTGTCTCCCTCAGGAGTACTGTATCATTTCCAGATGGTTTTTTAAGTCTGACATAAGAGTTTGAAAATGGCCCAACCTGAGACAAACAACATGTTAAAGCTGGTTACTCACTTCTCTCATCATCCTCAAAATCGTATCTAGCATAGCTGTTTGGCTCTGCTGTTCGGAGTGACCTCAGCCATGGAAAATCAGTAATCATGGAGTAAGGGGCTCCATCCACAATGCCTAAAAACAACAAAAACAGTTGGGATGATGGTACTGCCCTTCCAATGCCAAACCTTCATTCTCAACTGGAAGAGTCTAATGTCGTTAGATGGACCTGGAACAGGCAAAGACCTTCCTCAACTTTTAAGTCATAAAATGCACACCTGCCTAACCCCTTTTCATCCAAGGTAATTTTTATCCATTGTTCTTGTAATTTGGAAAAAAAAGGTTAATTTACTGTAGTAAAGGACAGAGAATTAGCCTCCAACCCTGCAAAAGGCTCACCTTCTAGAGTGTAAATATCACGCCCCCAAGGGTACTTTGTGTATTTCTTGATGTCTTCATCAGTTCGTGTTGCTTCAGGGAAGAACTCATACTTAATAAGTTCTCTGGAGACAAGAAACACAATTACAGATGGCACTGATGGGAAATTACAGAAAAATGAGAGGCACAGTGGTAATCGCCACTGTACAACCTTTGCTTTAAAAGGGCTAAATCCTGAAGGACATGCATATCTGGATCCAGTGCGAAATGTCTTTGTTCTACAACCCCATATAGGGCCAGAGAAAAATACAGTTTTATTGTCTATGTCTGTGCTGCATATAAAACAATTATTTATGATGCCTTCCATGTGTAAGAAATTCCTTAGAGCTACAGCTAAATAAAGTCTCCAAAAATAAACAAGGTAGCTAGCTTCCTTACTTCCTTCATCCGCTCTAAGAAATAAAAGAAGAAAGAAAAGCCTCTTTTGAAATGGTTAATCAGGGGCTGCTGGATACAATTTCCTGCTGTGGGGGAATATTGCAGAAGAGCAATCATATTGAAAGCAACACATCACTTCTTTTTCCTTCAGAAGCCAATGTTCTCTCTCCTGGAGTCACTAAGTCTCTCTCTCTCTTTTAAATAACCTTATCAGAGTGCCAAGTTTGGAAGAAATTCTTCAGGCCTCACTCAGCAAAAAAATACTATAGCATTCTATGGCAAAGCTCCAAGAAACCACACTTTACAACAGTGCTAGCGTGGTTTTGGGTCAGGGCTGCAGAATATTGAGCTGTCCTTCACTTGGGAACCAGCCAAATGTACGAAGCTCTAATCAACATTTTCATTCACCTCATCCTCTCATTTAGACATTATCTCTGGGAACCAGCAGGCCAAGACGTTCTTCTTTGTCTGGCTAATGATACACTGAGTCTATATTAGCCTGTAACCTACTGACGCAGCATCTCTGACGTACATCTATTGAGAGGCAGTACTCACTGGTTAATGTTTGCTATTGTATCCATCCAGCTGCGAATGCGCACCTTATTGCGCACATTGGGAGGGTTACTAAATTCATGAATTATGCAGATATGATATGGGTAAGGACCGCTAAATATCTTTTGCTCCAGAGTCAGCGTGTCAACCTGTGAAAATATAGATGACATCTTACAACCAGGCAGAAGTATGTTTCTAGTTAGCAGTACATACCTGACACATACCTCAACTTAGGGGGAAGGACACTGATAAATACACATTGCAATGAGAAAAAACTGAAAGCAAGCAAAGCACAGGCAGAGCAAACTAGGACTTTCCTGACAACTCGTCAGTCTTAGCTCCGATTGTCCACTTTTTAAGGAAAACGAACAAGTTTGCTGAAGTAACATGCAGTAAACTAAGAGCCACCAATATAAATTAAGTGTGACCTAATCTGCATTCATTTTTCCACACAGTGTCCATGGTTCTTAATTTTTAAACAGAGTTGCATCATCCAAATTATTAATAGAAATATTGACTAGTATAAGACCTGGACAAACCCTAAAACCCAACTTGATATGGCCTTCCAATCTGAGAGTGAGCTATTTGTGGAGTATTGTTTTTGAATCAGTTGAGCACCCACATTGCAATAGTTTCTTTTACAACCTTTTCCCCATGTTTGCGTAAAAGGATATTGGGTAAGAGAGTGTCAAAGCCTTACTGAAACCCAGATATATTATAGCTACTGCTGTCT